ATCAATTGTTCAAACGATTGTAAAAACGTTTTCAAACGATAATATAGTGTAAATGATAATAAATTGTTCAAACGATAGAAAAAAAGAATAGAAAAACATGGATAATCCAGTGATAAAAAATAGAAAATATATCAATTGTTCAAACGATTGTAAAAACGTCGAATATATGCAACTCTGCGGGCGGCAGACATCTGCACGAAGAAATCCCTACGGACCGGGTCTTCTAGCAATTCTGCTGCGAACAGATACAGTTCTTCATCTGCATAAATTTCGGCTGTAGCACTTAGGATTTCAAGTGTCTCCGCGATTGTGCTTGAATGAGAAACTGACATTCTGCTTTGAAACAAGAAACTGCCTCGGATAACTCGTTTCTGAGAGAAGAAACACCAAATTTTCTTTTATCAACAACCCTCCGACATTTGGAACTGGAAATAGTTTCATATTCGTTCTGATCTGGGCTGGGGCCGTCAACGAAATCAACTGAACCTCCAGGGGTTCCCAAATTAACGGCATTACCAGCGAACCCTGTCTCGCTTGGGGTACATGCATAGTTCCCCGTTGCAACCACTCCCCCAAACATGCGGTCTAGTTTCTCCTCCAATTCAGGCTCAATTCCAGAAAGCTTAAACTTTTTTGCAGCAGGCACCACCTACACAAAAATTGTTATACACCCAATTATAACAAAAGAGAAAGTTACAAAATAAAAAAGTTTATAAACAAAGTTCACCGCAAGTCTTTCAACCCACCATTCCCCGGGTGCATCAACTGTTCGCTTTATTGGATCCCAACCAAGACCGGTAGAACCCCTTTTCAATTCCTTCCATATTTTTCATTCCTTCTTCATTTGGTTCCACTTGTTTTTCATTTGCAACCTATCATATTCTCTGCCTGTACATTCCTCGAAATTTTTTATAATGTTTTGTCACTCTTCTTTATTGAAATGGATCGTTGGTCTATTTCCCCGTTCAATCTCTTTAATACAAAGATCGCAAAATATTATTTTCGTATCTTTTTCCCACAATGCGGGTATAGCAACCTCTTTAGGCTTACTATCCATGTTATTACTATAACATAACAAAGTCATGAAACACAACAGTAAAATCAATTAAAAAGTAGAATAAAGTAAAGTTTAGGTGTTAGATATTTAGGAAATACGCAGTAAAATAAATATTTAGGGAATACATAATTATAAAATACTGGAGGTTCAGTTAGCTATATGGATGAAACTAGAGTACCTGTAGCAGAGTGAGCTGTGCTGAGAGGGTAGTTGCCTCCGTCTGAAGCGTTTGCACCTTGCGCTCAAGCTCACTAGTAAACATATAAGAATGAAGTTGCATGAAAATCTGCCTAAAAATTATAGCTAAAGACTATTACAATGATAGCGAACAATCACTTCGCAATTAGAGATTTGAAGAATGTATTATCATACACAATAAAGCCATATATATATGATAAGGCTGAGCTTTAAAACCTATAAGCAGAAAACAAGAAATGAAAGCTCATATGATTCTAAAGAATGCTGAGAATTAATCATAGAAGAGGCACAACAGCTAGTTTAGAATAGTTTGAAGAATTTATTCAATGATATGTGAAGACGAAGCTCCCATTGGCTGCGGTGCTGGTCGAGGAAGACTAGCGCAGAAGAAGAACGCGGAAGAACAGCGGGGGGAAGAAGAAGGCGGAAGAAGAGCGGGGGGGGAAGAAAATCGCGGGGAAGAAGAAGAACCTGGTCGAATTCGGAGAAAGAAGAACCTGGTCGAATTTGAATGAATAATGTATTCGGAGGAAGAATAACCTGATTGCGGGGAAGAAGAAGATCGCGGGAGGGCTATCTGCGGGATTCGGAGGAAGAAATCGACCCACTCTGGCGATCCGCGGTATTCAGAGAAGAAGATGGCGGGCGGGAGCGGCGATCCGCGGGATTCAGAGAAAGAAATCGCGCGCGGGAGATTGGTTGGAAGAAGATCGCGGGCGGGCGGGACGAGGCTTTTTGCAAGGGACAAAACAAGACTTGTTCACGCTGCGAAGCTGTGCCGCAAGGAGGATATCGCTTTCCGCTTTTCTTCCGCGTTAACTTTCTTTTGCCACGAAGCTCCGAGCCAAACAGCAAAAAATTGCAATTCAGGGTCGCGAAGCCGCAAAAAAGCGGCCCCAAACGGAGCCTAAGTGTCAAATAGATGAATATTTGATAAATTGGATTAATATTGTTTGATGTTTTTCTAAACAAATAATATAATATAAAAAAGAACAATCTATGACAAAGAAATTTTGCATTATATTTCACTCACCCTACATACTACTTTCACTATCATGTTATTGACCTCGAATGTCTTGAATATATAAATATTGTGATAGGAGAGAGTGTCGAAATATTTTTCATTAGACTTTATGCACAAATTCTTTAACAAATCTATATGTATAAAGAAAAATTAATATAATTGTCATTTTTTTTTTTTGGTTCATTGAGCTTTATGAGTGATACATCATCAATAAAATTTAGACACGAAACTCGAAGCAATCAACATGGATCCCAGGGCATTTTTTTTTAATAAGAAACGTCCAAACTCTAATTAAAATGCATTCAAAGCTCCAATTTAAGAAAACATACTAACAAATTCACAGGTTCAACAAAACGAACACAAATTAAATCAAAGTTGGTCCAATCCCGGTTAAATCAAGCACAGATCGAGTCGTTATGTCATCTTTGAAAGCTTCTAGTGCACAATTGAAAAGTCAGGTGGATTCTAAATTTGTCGAACTTATAGCTAAATTGAGCTTCTCAATGAGCTGAACCCAACGAGTCCATGATCACTCAATTCTAACACTGTTCAGACACTTAAGTGCCCACAAAAAAACCATTCGATCAAGGAGATATCTCTGGGTCATCTGATGAAGTGATCCATATTTTATTTTTATTTGTAGGGAGACCTTTCCAAGACTTTATAAATAGAGCCCTACCCTCATACTAAAATGAAACTAGATCATGAACCAGAGGAAGACATGAGCTTGAAGGGAGAGTTGAGGTCCAGTGCTCCACATTGAACATTCAACGAATGTCACCCGCTCCTGCAGCCGCAAAGCATTGTCAACTAGCGCTCGCTGGCTACCGCCAAAATCAAAACCTAGTGGGTAAAGAATTTATCTAACTAAATCACCTTAAATATACATGATTCATTTCATTTCATAATACAATCATATTTGTAAACTTTGAAGCATAATATAGATAGAAACACACACACACACACACAAACACACATATGTTGAGGTCTAGTGCTTTATACTGAAGGTCCAACGAATGTCACCCACTCCTGCAGCCGCAAAGCACTGCCACCCGCCGTTCGGTGGCTACTTTCAACCAACATTCGCCGCCCCTACTCATGTGTCAACTATGGCGCGACAGAGACAAGCCACTAAATTACACCAAATTCTCATCAGCACTCGTCCTAACTTGCAAAATCAAAATCTAGTGGGTAAAGAATCAGTCTAACTAAATCATCTTAAAAATACATGATTCATTTCATTTCATAATACGTTCATATTTGTATACTTTGAAGCATAAGAAAATCATATATATATATATATAATAATACATTATATATGTTTATATCTAAGTTTAGATTAACACAACCTGTGATATAACACCCTATATAGATATAGATATACATATTTCACTTTTAAAAAATGAAATACACCCTTTTATATGCACGTAAGGTCGTATGTGTAAACATCGATGTTCAGGTGTTATACGTGTAAATACATAGAAATCGAGTGATATGTATGCAAATCTTCCCATATTATATTGGTAATTGTATAAACATACATATCAGGACAAGAATCTATAACACAGTTCTATCAAGATATATATATCATAATAATAATATAATCCTTTTGCTCTTTTATCATGTACCTCTGCGTCTGTTAGGCGCTTGAAATTACCACTGGGACGAGTCCCCGTATTCTTTTTCTTAGGCGTCTCTTTTTGAAATGATACTGATGCTATAAGGGTGCTCTTGTAGAATTCATCAATGTTGCCCCCTTTGCTTGTCTTTTCATGTTTCTTATCTTATATCATCTGAGTAAACTCCATAATTTCCCTCGATCAATGAAGTCTCAAGAGTTAGATGGTTGCTCGTATGTCGAGCTTTAGACCTTTCAAGAAGTTTCCTTCCAATCCTGCAGCAGAAATACCCTTCAACCTCCCTGATAAGAGCTCGAACTTCACCTCATATTTCGTAACCGTCCCCTCGCGAGTCAGAGCATAGAATTGTTCGTGTATGCTCCTTCCTGAATGGCTCAGAAGCCCTCCAACAAGCAATTATTAAACTCCTCTAATGAGTGCATTGGATATCTTGCCTTCATCCACTAAAACATGTTAAAGTCTTCCCCTCCAAACATAATCCAGCTGCCATGAGCTTATCTTCCTCCGTTAACTCATTGATTGTAAAGTATTGTTGCATTTGATACACCGACCCATGCACATCTTCCTCTTCGAAGATCGACATCTTCAATTTTCAGACCCTTGCATCTCCACTCCAACTTCCTCTTCCTTTGGTATCCCCCCATGTATCTAGTGCGGAACTCACTTCTCCGATCATAGGCATACCCCACTTCTGATTCCCTCATTCCTCCATCGTACTCTTCCGTGCTCTTACCACCATCCCTCCTTCAATTTTCGGCCCATCCCCCTCTACCGGAAGTCTCCACTCCCCTTCTTCTCAGATTCCTAGGGGGGTGCTCTTGTTGGTAGATGATGTTTTACTCATTGTCTTCTGACCAAAAGAAAATATGTTGAGATTTTCATACTTATTTTACACTGATTTTGATGATATTGCACTTTAAAGAAAGATATTTTTGATGTTTTGTTACAGGTATGTTGAATTTGGTCATTAGAGCAAAAAGATGCAAAAAAGAGCGAATTTGGAGAAAAAATGATCAACATATGAAGATTTGATCTTGGGCGCCGACGGCGGGCTCAACGACGCTGACGGCGGGTTTTTCCCTTTTCCAGAGAGTCCAGAATTAAATATTCTAGAAGGCCGCCGACGGCGAGCACGTCGGTTCTCTTAATAGCTGCATTAAATGTGGACGATTTTTGAAGGGACGCTTGGACAACTCTTGAAAACTCTTCTACAACTTTAAAAAAAAAAACAATTTGGAGACCGAAAAAGGGGGGCGTCAGCTGAGTCTTTGTTATTTGTGGTGCCCATTAGAGTGTAGAGAGTGGTTATTCTATAATCATCAGATTTTTCTAAATTTTTAAATTTCCTTAATTTTTCCTTCATAAGTGAGAGATTTCTTCCTCCTTGATTTTTTTTTTTTTTTTTTTTTTTTTTTTTTTTTTTATTAAATTTATCCAGGGACTTTAACTTCGAGGAGTTTGCTTGAGGAGGAATTAA